CCCGCAAGCTTTTCCCAAGCTGTTGGGCTAATTAGTAACATGGGGTGAGGGGGGCAGACAGGGAAATGTGCCCAAAATACCTTAGCGGCATTTCTGTGGTTAATCCTGGCCGCGCTTGGAGGCTGTTTACCCTCTACCCAGGGATTAGGAACCTGTTTGAGTTAGAAGGGCAGAGAGAGGCCAGGGCTCCAGTCTGTCCTCCACCTGCTCGTAGGAGCTGGGCAGGGGCGCTGAGCCAGCAGGAAGAAAAGTGAGAGAAACCTGTCTTCAATCTATCTCCCTTTATTGATCTCCCTGCCGCCCAGCTGCTGGGCTGCTTTGGAATCTTGATCCTCTCCCTGCCTGCCTCCCCCCTCAACACTGCCCTTGTGGTCAAATATCAACCTGCTTCAGAAAGGTGGGGACAAGAGAAAGAGTGGCAGGTGGTATTTTGGCCGGGGGGATGGGCCCGGTAACGGAAGGCTCCCTTATAGGCCATACACACTCTCTCAGAGGAGAGGGAAGTCCCCTCCCAGGATTCCTGATCATCTCCATCCTCCAATGCCAAAGGAAAAGGCTAGAGTCAAGGAAGAATTTCCTTTCAGTAGCAGAAACAAGCAGCTCCTTCTTTAGAGTTCTATGCGAGTGCAAGGCCAGTTTCTATTGAGAGCTACGTGGGTTGGAGGCCTTGAAATGGAATTGCAGGGATCAGAGGACTGTTTCCTCAGGTGCCCTGTTGGTGGGGACATTGTCACTTGTTGTTCCTGCACAAGGACTCCCGAAAATGTGCGGTCACATGTGCTGACATAGCCACTCAGAGTCAAACTAACAAGCACCCCCCAAAGAACAAGCCAGGACACCATTCAAAGAGGGGACCCTCCCTGCCATCCACACTGTCTTCTAGAGTAAGCAAACCCCTGAACTGGGACACGTTGGGCCCACCCAGCACCAGCCCCTCTGGGGGCCGGGGGAGCACAGGCTTCCCTTGGGGCCCAGGACTGGAATAGGAGCGCATACTTACACTGGGTTTTGAGAGGCACAAAGATAAAAGGATCCAGAGATCAAAGAGCCCCTAGAAGCTTGGTGTGCAGACCTCCGGGTCTAGGATTTGTTCTTTAAAGAGATTCCCTTCTCCTGCAAAAACTCACATTGAGGGGTCCCTCTGTTAAGGCTTGTGGTGGTTCCATGCTCAGAGCATGAGGTGGGCCTCACTGGGACACAGATCTGTCTCCTGCTGGGGCTCATCTCTGATCACCCAAGCCGTGCAGAACTCCACAGAAGGCGGGACGGGAAAGTGTGTATATGGGATTTGGGGGTGAAACGCAGAATAAGCCCAGATCATCCATTGACTTCTGTGCTTTCGTGTGGCTCCAAGGTGGAGAGGATTCAGACCTTCCAGGGCTCAGGGCACTAGATTAAGGGGGTGCAGTGTATGTGCATGGGGATCCTGAGCTGGGCACCTTTTGGCCAGTGAGAACAAAGGGGCCAGGGATGCAGGCAAATCCCCATCAGAGAAGTCATGTGTGTGTGAGCATGTGTGGATGAGTGTCCATCTGCAGGGAGAGGGGAGAGAAAGAAATGGTGAAGAGAATAGGAGAAAGAGAAGAAATAAAATCAAAGGCACTGAAACACAGACAGAGAGGGCAAGCTAGCAGACCCGCACAAAGAGAGGCAGAGAAACATCACAGGAGCCTGGGGACTGGGCAGTAGAAGGTGGGGAAGGGGGAACCCCAGGAGGGTCAGCAGCCTGAATAATTGGCCAGGCTCCCGCCCTGGAAGGTGGGCAGGGAAGGGAAAGGGCGGCAGAGAGAGCCCCCGCTTGCTGGGCAGGGCAGAGGCCATGGAACCCGCATCTCTCAGCTCCCAAGCAATCAGCCTTCTCCCCCTGCCCTTCTCCCCAAGCCCAGGGCTGATTGACGGGCCTGCAGCTTCTCTGGGTCTGGGTGGATTTGAATAATTAAGTCATCTGGATTCTTATGATTTACCATTTTCAATGATAAATAGACAGCGCCCAAGCCAGCCAGTTGGCAAAACTCTGGCTGCTAGTTATAATTTGTCAAGCTGCCAGTAGATTCATGTTTCATGCTAATGGAGAGAGACTCATTGACTAGGGGGAGGCGGTGACCCGGTCAGCTCTTTCCTCAGGCACCCCAGAGGTCGAGAGGTCGGGGGAGAAAGACCGGGCGGTATGGATTTTCTGTAAGGGTCAGTGTAATTTTATAATAATTCAGCGGGTACACACGCTCTCACATACACAGAGGATCATGTATGCAGAGATGTGTTTGGATCTATGCACCCGCCCCCCAACATGCACCTGCTCTAGTGCAGGCGTCTGGGTCCAGCGAACACAGGCCTGCTTCGGGAACACTTGTCCAGCCCCTTGCACATGCACACCCTGCTGTCACCTTTAGGCATGTGATAACACCAAGGCAAACCCGCAGACCTGTTCAGATGCCCAGAGAAATGTAACAGCCCACCCCCCTCCCCCGACATCTCAAGGATGGGAAGGTACCTCTGGTTGACCCTTCTGCTCACCATCCCAAACCCTTTATTTCAGGGCTTTCATGGTTGCTGATCGCAGGGCACGACTCTTGCTCCTTTTCTAATATTTTTCCAGTGGGGGAAAGAAATGAGCCCTAGGGCCGTCTTGTTTTTCAGCCGGCTGACTGGGTCTCGGTAGCTGGGGCTGGGAAGACAGAGGCTCTGAGACCAGGCACATGGAAGGTGGCAATCAAAATCCAAACTTTCTTTTCCATCAGTTTGTTTATTTATATATTTGTCCACATGTATTGAAGCCTCACAGTGGCAAGAATCCCATTATTGACTGTCATGACAAATCTGAGGTGGGGACAATGCTTTGCACATAGTAGGTACTAAATAAACATTGGTGTAATGAATAGCCACAGTTACAGATTGATCTCTTGGTACAGCAGACTACCTATTTCCCTTCTCTTCCTCCACCTCAACAAACCTTTACATCATCACTGGTTTGAGAGGGCAGAGAAGAGGTGTGGGGCTGGGAGAAGCCCCCTTGGTTCCTTGATTTGAGAAATCTGGGCCTTTCGTGTGACAACAATTCTGATTTTACACCAATGGAAGCAATCTGGTCTCAGTTTTGACCCCCAAATGCCCTTCAAATGGATCAGTGAGCAAGGAAGGACTGAGGAAGGAGCACGTGTCCTTCCTCTGGCCCAGAGAGAATTTAAATTTGCTTGGAGTAGCTTGTGAGCAGTGCCGGAAGCTGCAACTTAATACTATCCATCAGCAGCTTTAAGGTTTGGTGGGGGCATGGGGAAGGATTGGGGGACCTGAGGAGAAACATTTCATTGTCCTGTCCCCCAAGATCCCTACACGACACAGAAAAACACAGCAGCAAACTGAACAGAGCAGAAGCGGAGGCAGCAGAGTACCCAACGGCAGAAGCTGCCTCCAGCGGCAGGCTCAGGCTGGAAGAAGTGGTCGCAGCTGTTGGCTCTACCCCGGAGGTTCAAGATTCTGGATCCTGCGAAGTGAACTGGGCTCCCGCCTTCCCAGGGGGGCCAGGCTGGGGGCAAGGAGGCTGATCTGGGCAGACAGTCGGCGTTCCCTCCACCACCGCCCGGAATAAGAGGCCTCCTTTTTTTGCTGAGCTGCTGTGGATGGCCGTGGGCCCAGCTAATCAGGGGGCATTCCTCAGAGAGACGGCCAAGAGTCAGAATTGACCAGCTTCTCCATCCAAGAGAAAGGGACCCCTAAATGCATCAGGAATAGGGAAATAGGTTTTGCTTTTTATTAGTTTGAGGCTCTGACCTGGCATTACTGACATCACCAAGGTGAGCTCTTGTAGCCCTCACTCACCCGGGCAGAGAGACGGCCTCGGGGGCAATAGCAACTCCACCCCCGTGGGGCAAGGACAGGTTGACTGTGGCCTGCAGATGGGCGACGTGGGGGAGGGTTTTCTGGGGGTAAGCCACAGGGACATGATGGCAACAATCATGATTGATACAGAAAATGAGTTACTTCATCCCGCACTTGATTAGCAAAGCTTACTGCCCCATTTTGCCTTTCATCCTCCAATCCCAATATTTGCATCTGAGCAATGAACTCTTGAGGTCAGTGTACAAGTTAGCTTGTCTGAAGGTCTCAGAGCAAAGCCTCTGGGTATGAAGACACTATAAGAGCCCCAGCCTGGATTAGATGAAAAGGGAGAGAAAGAAAAGGAAAGTACAGGAAGAAAGAAGGAAAGAAGCAAATAGGCAGGGGAGGGGTTTGGGGGGAAAAGGGAGAGATAAAAGAAGGAAGGAAGAGCCTTGAGGAAGGGGAGGAAAGCTGACAGAGCCACACTGAACTGCCGTACTGAGGCCTCCCTGAGGGGAGCTGCAAGGTTTTACTGGGGACACAGCTTTCCAGCCGGTGGTTTGAGGGTTTCATTTTCAAGGGCTGCACTGTCCATGGAAGATGTGCTGAACTCAGTGACCTGCCCCATCCCACTTTGGGGAAACAAAGGGGTTACCTAATCAGCTGTAACTCGGTGGTTGCCACCGGATCACATGGACAGGGTATGGGAGCATAGGCCCAAGAGGCTGCAGACACACAACCACCCCATGTCAGTCTCTCCTACAGGCTGAATCTAAAGCCATTTTGCCAATTAATCTGTGTGTGTAAGAGTTCAGTGAAATATACTGCACACCGAAAGTCAAAATGCCCTGGGAAGGCATGTCCTCATTCTCTTTCCAGCGTGAGACGCTTTCGCTGGCTCCTCCAGTGTCTGGAAACCTTACACCAAGCTCCTTCTAGATTAAATGACCCCTTCGGCATGGAGAAATCCCTTGCCCTGAAAGGTAGTTTTCTGGGGATGAGGATGGCAAAGGAGGACGATTTTTCTTCTCACCGAGGAAGAAAATGAAGATGTTCCTCCTGGAATGGACTGGGCCTCACCCTCTCTCTCCTGCGTGCATATAGGCAGCCTAACCAAAGGGACAGAAGAACCCTCCAGTGCAAAGGGTTTGCTTGACATAGCGACCAAACTGAGGTCCAAGGTCTCAGAGCCAGAGCATGGCAGAACAAAGTGGCCCAGTCTGCAGACAGCGCAGGTGGGTCAGGAGACGGAGCCAGGGTGTATCTGCGACTCGCGCCTCTGTACAGCGCTTCTCCTGCTTCTGGAACTGCTTTGGGAACCAGATCTTGACCTGCAGAGCCTTAAGGCTGGCCCAAGGCAGGTGCAGATGCACAAACTCCTCCAGCTCTGTCTGTTTTGGGGAGAAGCTAATCACAAGAGGCTGGCCTCCATCTCCACCTCCCCTGTGGCCCCGGCCACAGCCACCTTGGTTGGGAGGTGGGCACTGGGGCCCGAGGAGCTGGAGAGGTGGTGGGAGGTCAGGGTCCACTCCCAGGAGGCTGGGGTACCTGGGAACCCCCATCTCAGCTCCACCAGTCTCTCCCCGCACCCCTTCCTCTCCACTCCTTCCCTCCCTCTGCTCCTCCCAAGTCTGGACCTCCTTTCTGTTCACCCAGTTCCCTCTTCTTTTCTTTCTTTCCTCTTTCTCTGTGTATTTATTCTCAATTTTCCTTCCTTCATTTGTTTTCCTTCTGCCCTCCCTCCACTTTTCCCTCTTCTCTTCCTTCAGTTTTCCTTCCTTCTTTCCTTTTTCCTAGCTTTCCTCCATTCCTCTCCGTCTCTTTCTCCTATTCATTTTTCTCTTTTTCTTTTTTAAACTTCTCTCTCTTTTCCTTCCCTTTTCTTTTACTTTCTGGCATCCTCCTTTTGTTCATGTGCTTTTCCTTCCTCTTGCTTTTCTTCCCTTTTCTCGTACAACAAACGAATCTTGCTTCTTCATTCTGTCTTTTATAAATGTTCCTTCATTTCATCTCTTTTCCCTGCTCCCTCCCTAGTCCCCTCCTCTGCCCTCACTACTGGGGCTTTCTAAAATCTTCTCTTCCCTCACCAGTCTTTCTGTTGTTCTCAGGTTGTTTTTTTTTTTTTTTTTTCCAGTCCTTTGTGCAGTTTCCTCAGCCTCCTTTCCATCTTCCATTGTTTATAAATCCTCTCTCTGAACAGGCATAAGGCATAAACGTGCCCCCTCCTCAGGTCAGGGCTCTGTCCCGCATCAGCCTACCCACCCTTCACACCATTCTTTCTCAGCTTCCCTCAATGCGGGGTTCAATTTCAAGGGCTCACAGAGAGGCTGTTTGCCCCTAGCTGAGAAGTCAGGGCTGGGTCCACAGCTCCCCAGTACAGGCTTAGGGGACGCTCTGACAAACTGTCATGACTCCATCAATCCTAGTATAAAAAATAAAAAGGAAGAGAAGAAAACAGTAAAAGAGAGACAGGTCTATAGACTGTGTGCGTGGGGGGGGGGGCATGTTGGTGGAGATGGGAGAAGAGGAGGAAAAAGGTCTGGATTCATCAAAGAGGGAGGCGGCAAAGTCCAGACCCAGGTGCCTTCTCTTAGCTCACCCAGAGCTGGGACAGCCAGTAAAAGAAACCTCAGTTGGCTCCCTATTAATTTTGGGATTGGATGGGGATAAGACCTTCTATCCCATTCCTCTGGACTAGAGAGGTGCACAGGGCCACAGGGAGGGAGGAAAGAAAAGGGCTTAGACTTGAATATCAGTCCCTTTCACGTCCGCCCCGGGATATGTCCCTCCCAAGGCCCATGCTCTGGAAACCTCTGAGCCCCTAGGCAGTGCTCCCTTTGGCTCTCTCGGACCTCTCAGTTAGGCGGGCCCACTTAGGGGCTCCATCATGAGCAGTGTCAGAGCAGTCCCGGATTACCCGCAGAAAAACCTCGGGTGCAGTGAAAACAAAGGCCTGGGCGGTTTGGCCACTCTGAACCAAAAGATGAGGTCTTGAGACCAAGTAGAGGCCAGAGACAATGCTCGCTGGAGGTGGGAATTTTCTCTCCTGGGATCCACAGCCCCTCCTGGCTTTTTCCAAGAAGCTGTTCAAATGCTCCAGCCACATCCTGCCTGGTTCCTTGGCTCAGACCCTAAACCTCAGCGCCATGGAGACCCTCCACCCTGGCTGGGCCTCGCTTTTCTGGGCTCCAGAGTTCCCTGTGTCCTGCTAGTGCACCTGCCATAGCCCCCACCCTCCCCGGCTTTCCCAGACCGGGCAGGCCAGCCCCCATTTCCACACCAGCCTGCCCACTCTCCACCTGGGCCCCCAAGTTCAGTCCCACCCTCTGATCCCACCCTCTCTGACTCCCTTTTGAAGAGTCTTTTCCTCCCAGGATTTCTCTTGGGGAGGGGGGGCTGGAATCTCAGCCTCAGGGAAGGGGTAGGGGGTCTTTTCCTGACCCTCTTGCGGGGGCTGGAGGAAGTTGGAAGGTGATTTTGCTGGGGGGTGGGGAGGAGCGCTCCCCGGATTCCATCTTGGGGAAATGGGTTTCTGAGTCAAATTGGAATTAAAAGGAGAAGAAGAAGAAGAAATCCATGTCATTCCTAACTTAAAATTAGCAAACGGTTCCCGGGGCAGCAGGGGCCCGAGAAGGTTGCGAGCTGATGCTTTGAGTCGATACCCCGCCCCCTACCCGGGCAGAGTCGAAAACTACTGTTTGCGGCTAGTACTTCTCTCGCTTTCCTGGGAAACCCCTTTGGGGATCTCTAAGCACCTTTAAGAGTTTGCTGGGTGAGCAGGTTCGGGACCTGTCCGGGTTTTTATACATCCGTAATCAGCCGTGATGGAGAAATAAACAAGTGCATCCTTCCTCCAATATAAGAAGCAGGGGCCCTCTCTCCCACTTCAAACCTCAAAACCCAAACTCTGCTCCCATCTCCATCTCCTCAAAAAACTTTTCTGAAGTTCCTGCAAGTTGCGTTTGGGGAAAGAAGTGATCACCTTCAGACTCTACGGGTCTCCAAGAGCCCTGTTTCTCCCATTCTCTCCAGTTTCAGAAGCATCCCTTTTCCTCTGACATTGCCACCTTAGTCCCCAAACTCGGGTGAGGAAAGCTGTTCTGGCTCCACTCCTCTGCCAGTCCAACCGCAGCCCAAATTCCGAGGTCGGGTAGATCAGTATCTGCCAGCAGGGGAGCAGGGATGGAGTGAGGAGAGATGCAGAGATAGGGGAAGACAGTTTTCAGGCTACAGCGCACCCCTCCCAGACCCAGCTCACCTGTTCCGGAGGGGCTCCTCTGGATTTTAATCCATTCAAAAGTTTGTCGGTCTCTCACATTGTCTGAGGAGGGGCGCAAACTCGGCGGTCGGGATGGGGTGGGCGCCCCCTAAGAGCGCAGGCGCCTGATTCAGAACGAGCCCCTGAGAAGCAGGACTCGGGTGCATCTTCCCCAAGGTGGGGGCCCAAGCAGTGATCCGGAGAGAGGACGCTCAAGTGCACGGGGTACCGGGTCAGACTGCCAGCTGGGGACCGTCCGGGGCAGATTGGGCGCTATAGGGGAAGAAGCCTACGGGGCCGGGCAGGCTCGGGGAATTGGAAGGAGAGGGCCCTGGGTCCCTGGCGTCGTCCCTCTCTTCCTCCAGTTTGCAACCTCCCCTGTGTGTCCCAACCCACAACATTCCCCAAGCCCCTTCTGGGGCGACACTCAGGACCCGGACAACGCAGAGAGGGAGGGTGAGGGGGAAAAGTGACCCCTCTCCTTAGCCCCTCCCCAAGCCCCGCGCCACCGCTCCCCCCACCCCACTCTTCCCTGCCCAGAGCCAAGGGACGTACAGAGAATTCCAACTAGAAATTCGATCGATTGGTACGAGGGACCACGTGGTCCGAAGTTGGCCAATGACCAGGCCGCCCGGGATGAGCTAATAATGGAAGCAATTTGTAACTTTCAGTAGCTCTCTAGGCCTGGGTACTGGAGGGAGGGAGGCGGGCAGAGGTGGGGAAATGGGTGCCCCCAGTCGTTCCACCCTCCTCATTCGTGCGGGGCACCGGGATCCCCGAATCCTCTTTTTCCCCAACCCCGCAGGCACTTGCAGGGTCCCGCACCCACTTCTGTCCAACAGCCGCTGCTCGAGAGCAAGGTAAGCGGGTCCTCCATCCTTCAACCACCCCTCCCCCATCCTTTCTGGCACCTGCAAAAAGCGTCGCCTTTCTTGCCCCATTAGACAATTTAAATATGATTTTGTTTTTCTCTTAGTTGAAAAAAAATATAATCCTTTTGTGTGTTGTTTTTTTTTTTTTTTGTATAATTTCAGATTTGGGAAAAGATTAAGTTCAGGTTAATATACTTTCCTTGGAGGACGACTACCACTTTTTGGATCAATTTTCTATTCTGTTCTTTTGGAGAGGAACATTCTATTTGAAGAGAGTTTACTTTAGAGATGAGTTACCCCTTTGTTTTTGCAAGTTTCACTTTTCTGATGATGTTGGTGCCTTTCTCCATCCCATCTTCCAATTTCAGTATTTACAAAGAACCAGTTAACATATTTCAAGTTTATTCATTTGTTTTTCTCCTCCCTCACTAGTTTTTCAGCTGCTACTGAATCGACGCAAATTTTTTTTTCCTCCTAGTGTGGACCAAGGGTTACTTTTGTGTTGATTTCTCTTTTTGTTTTGTAAATGAATTTATTGTTCGGGAAACTCTATAGGGGTGTGAATGAGGTCTCTTTTGATTCATTCTGACCCCTCCTCTTTTGAAGGACAATTTACTTGAAGTGTTGTATGCATTGTCTTCAATTTTTATCTTTCAATTTTGATGTATTTTACCCCTTCTATTAATAAAAACCTGACCGGTTCTTGAAATTTAATATTTAGTTTGTTAAACCATCTCTAAATTTTTAATTTTATATACTTCACCATTTTGTACATTTCCTTACCCTTGTCCAGCCCCCTTTGCCTTCCTACCTCCTCCATCTCAGAACTCCCACCCCCAACTTCCACAATTCCCAGCATCAAATTCGATTCACCCATGGGCAAGGAGGGACTCCTGATAAGAAAATGTCCTGCTTGTGTCAGAGCTTAAACTTGAGATTCTGGGCACCTCTAGTCCAAATCCCCAGGCCAGCAAAATCAGGGAAAGCAGAACTGCTATTTGATTTTTTAGTTTGGGACCAAGCTCTTTCTCCTTGGCTCTATTCTGGACAAGTCTTTGGGACACAAAGTTGAATTTTTAGTTCTCATCTTGACCCTGAATTCTAAGCAAAGTACCAACAGATTTTTTTTTTTTCTCCCTTAAATGTAAACTGTGAGCTCAGGGTCAGCCTCTTGGGACTCTTGCCTCCTGGGAGAGATTCTCAGAGAAACACAACATGTAGTTCCCTCTTTTACTTCTGATTAAGGTGGAGGGGGCAGGGGTTGGGGGACCCCGTTTTGATCTCCAGCTCTAGCTTTGAATGGACACAAAGAAGGAGAAGGCTGGCCTGGGGACTAGATCACTTTGGGTCAGTGGGGTCTGGCTTAAGAGAGTTTGAGGTAAATCCCAGCTCCGAGGACATTCTCCCTAGCTTTACTGTGAAGTAAATCATCAAAGTAGTGTGATACAGTTGCAGCCTATTCAGATCCATTGTAGGTACCAAAATCAAATGATGAGAGAAATTTCATTTCCCGAAGCCCCGCCTCTGCTGACTTTGTCTGTGCCTATGAGGGAAACAGCCCAACTTGGCCAAAGTAACATTGTCACTGCTCCTCCCTGCTCAGTCCCCAGCTCTGTTGTCACATTGACATTCTGGGCACATTCGGCCCAACCCCCGTCCCTGCTTCTCCCAAGTATGAATCTAAATTACTATTAATAAGGGGCCGCTCCAAGTTAATTGGCATTAAAAGAATTCATTTCAATTTGTTAATATTAAATGAACGCTCTGCACTTTAGCTCCCTTCTTTGCCCTGGATTCCCAGATGAGTGATGGGAAGTGGTGGGGTGGGGGGGTGCGGGGAGGACGAAGAGGATTTTATTTCTGACTCCAGCGCAGTCACTGCGGTGCCTCCCCGGGGGCATGAGATCCAGGCACAGTGGGGGCCTGATTGGGGACCATCTGACGCCTTTTTAGATGAAATTTATCTGATCCCGTTGGAGCTTTGGGGGAGGGCAGAAGGGAGTTGAGGGGGAGGGATAGAAAGGTTTGGGGATGTTGTGGGGAGAGGAAGGGCTGAGAGGCAAGGAGCGAGAGGAAGAGGCAGAAGTGAATTGGGGCCCAAGGTTGTGCGCTGGTGAGGAGGGTAACGTAGCTTTGTGAAGGAAGGTGCTAGTAGTTCCAAACCCCCCTTGAGAAGAAGGAGCTGGGGGAGGGTGGGATGTGAAGCAAAGCAGCTAGGGGTTCTGAAGTAGCTATCTCAGTGGGGTGTTTGTGATGAGATGAAATACACGTACTGTTTCCACAATGCTTGGCACCTAGAAACTACCAGTAAACTAGTGTAGTGGCTAAAAGCACAGATTCTGGAGACAGACTGCCTGGTTTTGAACCTCAGCCCTACCTAATGCTAACTGTATGACCTTGGGCAAGTTACTTAACCTTTCCACACTGCAGTTTCCTTATTTGGCAAATGGATTTACTTGTACCTAGCTTGTAGGCTGCTGTGATGGTTAAGTAAGTTAATATGAGTGAAGTGTTTAGAACAGTGTTAGTTGTGCGGGAAGCACTTTACAAACTGTACAAAACTAGTTGTTACTGATGTTGTCGCTTTTCTGAGCTGGGGAGTTTGGAGATGGTCATGGAACTGCTTAGAGGTTAAGGGTTCAGTGGTTCTCTAGGATCATGAACGGGTCAGCCCTCTCACCCCCATCCCTGGATCTGGTCTAATAACTCGGGTGCATGTAGCGAGGGCAAGGGGAGAGTGAGACCTGGGGCCTTGGGAGCTGGGACACCTGAGTTCTTCCCTGGCTTCTGCTTTGGCTCTTGGGTTGGTGGTCCCCTCTCGTGACCACAGACTTCAAAGGAAAGTCACTTCTTTTTCCTCTGGAGGGCTGTGATGGGAGGATTGCTTTCTTGGTCTAATAACCTACCTCCCTTTGGTAGAGAGTCAGTCCCAGGAGTGTGGATTGAGGGAGACTGGGTAGAGCAGAAGAGACTGAAGTTTACTAAATACTCTCTAAAATGGGTACCAGCCTCCACATCCCTGACCCCACTGGAGAGAGTACAGAAAACAGAGGTCCAAAGAGATGAAGTAATGTGCCAAAATTATAAAGCTATTAAGTGGCACAGTTGGCATCTGAATGCTGACCTGCCTGATGACAAATCTTAACTCCCTTCCATTGCTGCACATTTTCTGAACAGAGAGGTGGGACTTTCTGAAGGGTGAGATAGGACACACATAAAGTTGGGACACGGATGAGGCCAGGACCATGGGGCTGCTGGAAGATGATTGTGGGGAGTGGGAATGTTTCAGTCAGGGAAGACTTCTTGGAGGAGGAAAGTACAGATCAGGGTTTAGATAAGAGGGGGAAGGAAGATAGGAAGTAAAGAAGAGGGATGGAAGTGGTACATTGGCAGAGCAGGTGGGGAAATACCGACCGTGCAAAGGCTGGGTGAGGCCAGAGGGTCTGGATCAGATTCACTTTTCTGGCACCAGGTACAATCGGTTACCATTTCTTAGGACAGACTGTGCCAGGTGGATCTGTTACTCTTGTTTCACACCTACGTTGACTCGGACAACTGAGCTTCTCATTCCTACTTCCAGAGGAGTCAGCTGAGGCTCCGAGAACTGAATCCCCACCTCAGATCATGCATATGGTAACTGGGTCTGCCTGGCACCAAAACCATACCTGGGTGCCTACAAAGCACAGCCCCCTGGCCTGGTCTCTCCTTCCCTTCCGAGTTCTGGTCATTCTGCTCCCCACTATTTGTAGTCATGCCTGGGAACAGGAGTTGGAGAATAAGGTGAGACAGAGAGGGGGAGGGGCAGGGGGCAGTGGGGACAGAAGCTTTTCTCACATCCTTGTGAAGAAGGTGGGTATTCTCCCTAGAGGAGGCCTCCAAGTCACTTTCCTGGGACTCTGACCTTGAGGTGGATGGGGGTACTTTATTGGGCATCACACTGTCCTCTGGACAACGGACTCGATTTCTCCTCCACAGAGAGAGGAGGGGCAGAAGAAGAGGGCCGCTCAGCTGGGGGTGGTTTGTGCTCTGGATTCAGACTTGCCGGTTCTCCACTAAGTGCCTTTTCTTCTTGTTCTGTGAGGGCACAGAACCTCCCAGCTGGACACTCCACTGGCCAGAGGGGCCAGAGGGGAATGTAAGTTGAGGAATGTCATCAGAGCCTTAAGATGTTGGGTAAGTTCTTCTTTTTGTGAGCTGGAGCTGATGTGCCTGAGACTGAGTTATGACTGTGCAGTTGAGGAGAAATCCCTGAGAGGGCAAAACCACGGTAGGATATGATCCCAAGTTCCTGATTGACCAGGTCGAGCAGAGCCACCTGCCGTCCAGGATGGCTCCCTTCCAGACAGTCATATGATAAATAAACATGTTTTCTATTTGCGACTGTGTTTGAGACTCTTTTTTTTTAAATAGCAGTTTTGCCATCATCCTTCCTCATATACCTTCCCACCTGTTCTTAACAGAGATGGAAGGGACCTTGGAGATCATCTCTGTTTGGCCAAGCCCCTTCCTATCACCAAGGTACCTAGGTATCTTCCATCCCCACCCTCACTTCAACCTAAGAAGTTCAGCAGGACACCTGAGTTAGATGTTGGGATGCTACATAAAGTTTTATTTGGAGAAAGAAAACCAGTTTGAAACCCCCTGCAAGTTCAATCTCCTCCCCCTGTTTTTTAAATTACAGACAAGGCCCAGAGAGAGGAAGTGACTTACTTAAGATCACACAGTTTTTCTGTCATTTTCTGAATCCAAGATGGGTTCTCTAATCCGCTTCCTCAACAAATCACAAGGACAAAAACACCCCAACCAGGCAGGGGGCCTACATCTCCTCGGATAAAACTCTGGGATGGCCAGGCCATGGTTCCCTGATTTCCCCTGTGTCCTCCTGTTGGATGTCTGCCTCGGAGCCCCACCTCCCTGGGCCTGGGAACCAACGGGCTGCATCTTTGCTCCAGCCGCCTTCTCACCCAGATGATCCAACACGCAGAGCAGAGCCGGGCCAGGGCCAAGCTCCCTGCCTCCCTCTAGTCTTTCCACATTTATGTCTCCCTCCTTCCCCCACTCCAGCCCCTTCCTAGTAGCCCACCAGGGAGGAGAAGGGGGAAAACTGTCATAAATTTCCCCTATTTATACAAGAAGACAGAATGTTTCTTGTGCCAGAAAAAACACAGAGAGGGAGCTGTCAGGGGAGAAGGGACCCAGTCCCATACCTCTGGGGCCAATTTATCTTCCTGAGTCGTGGCTTGGGGGCTACCATAACACTGCCTGTGCGATCTGCAGGCTTTGGCTTGGGGGGCTGCCAGGACAGACAGTGCCTGGGCTTCGTTTTGGCCTTCCTGCTCCATCTCAACTGCCCTGTCTCTACTTCTCCCTTTCTTTTTTTAAAACAAGTTTCTTGGGATATAATTCACACACACCATACAATTTGCCATTAAAGTATATAATTCAGTGGTTTTAGTGGAGTCACAGATACGTGCAACTGCCACCACAGTCCATTTTAGACCATTTTCATCACCTCTAAAAGAAATCTCATACACTTTAGTTAGCACTTCCCGTTTTTTAAAGAAAAATTTATTTGACTGTGCCAGGATTTAGTTGTGGCATGCAGGATCTAGTTCCCTGACTGGAGATTGAACCTGCACCCCCTGCATTGGGAGCACAGAGTCTTTTTTTTTTTGTGGTGGGGGAGCACAGAATCTTAACCAGCAGACCACCAGGGAAGTGTTTTACCACCTTCTTTTTATCCCTCCATACCCCTGTCAGCCGTGAGCAAACACTGATCTGCTCTCTGTCTCTACAGATTTCTCTATTCTGGAATCTCATATGAAGGGAATCGTATACCATGTGGTCTTTTGTGACCAGCTTCTTTCACTTAGTGTAATGTTTTCGAGGTTCGTCCATGTTGTAGCAGGTATCAATGCTTCATTCTTTTTTTATGGCTAAATAATATTCCATTATATGGATACACTACTTTTGTTCATCCTCTTTTCTCCTGATGGATATTTGGGCTGTCAGGGAGACCTGGATTTGATCACTGGGTTGGGAAGATCCCCTAGAGAAGGGAAATGCTACCCATTCCAGTATCCTGGCCTGAAGAATTCCATGGACTATATAGTCCATGGGGTTGCAAAGAGTTGGACATGGCTGAGTGACTGTCACTTTCACTTTCTACCTTTTGAATATTATGATTCTTCCTTAACTCTTATGTCTCTAGAGAGCTTGGACCACATAGAATGAGATCTGTGGGCAAAAATGGGTATATATATATATGAACATTACTCAGCCATTGAAAAGAAACAAGTCCCTTTACAGCAACATGGGTGGACCTTGAGATTATCATACTAAGCCAAGTAAAGAAAGACAAATATTATATGCTTACGTGAAGAATCTAATACAAGTAAACTTATTTACAAAATAGAAACATACTTGCAGACAGAAAAACATTTATGGTTACCAAAAGGGAAAGGGGAGGGGCTAATTACAGGTTCAAGGTTAGCAGATACATGCTACTATATATAAAATAGATAAACAGCAAAGTCCTACTCAACAGCACAGGGAACTATATTCAATATCTTGTAATAACCTATAATGGAAAAGAATCTGAAAAAGTGTGTATATACATATAACTGAATCACTTTGCTTTGCACCTGAAACTAGCACAGTATTGTAAATCAACTATACTCCAATAAAAACTTTTTAACAACATGGAGGCATAAAATGATACTAGTTTTATTGTTAATTATTGATAGCAATAAAAATTGAAATTGTTCTAAAAAATAAAAACTCCAGTTCTGCAAAAAAAAAAAAAAAAAAGAACCTGGTGAGTCTTACATATGAGAATCCCCAATATCCAGGAAGGCAGGATCTTGGGAACATGCCTTCTTTTGTGTTAATTACATAAACTGTAATTACATATACATGGCTTACATGGTAGAGAATCTGTCCCCAATGCAGGAGACCCAGGTTTGATCCCTGGGTCGGGAAAATACCCTGGAGAAGGAAATGGCAACCCAGTCCAGTATTTGCCTGGAGAATTCCATGGACAGAGGAGCCTTGTGGGCTCCATAGGATCCATAGGATCACAAAGAGTTGGACAGGACTGAGAACTAACACATGCACAAGCCAAATATACATAAGTTGGCTTTTTCCTTCCTCTGTGACTGAGGGAGAGCACCTCTTTCCATTCTCTAGGCATTTTTAACATTGTTGTTATTTGAGTCATTTGCCGTGCTCCTCAGAGTTGGGAACTCAAACCCTTCTTCAGGGATTTCAGAGACACGGAGTAGACGAATGGACTTCTGCCCACTGGGGAAGAGGTTCCCTGAGTCCAGTCTCCAGTGATCCTCCAGTGTCTCACAGCTGAAAGAAGGTGCGTGCAGGCTCCAAGAGCAAAGGAACATTTTGTTGTGGGAGGAGTGACGGAGCCTAGAACGCAGGCCTCGCGCCCCCACCTCCTCACCCCATCTCAGTGTGGCACACCCGGGGCTCCACCCTTTCACTCACATCGCAAGTATGCACAAAGGATCCAGCCAACCCATGAGCCATGGCCCGTGCCCTCATGAACCGTAATGGTGAGAGTATGAAAACTACAAGTGAGCAAAATGACGAAGGTCTGTTAAGATATGTTGTGAAGCAAAGGTCTGTAAATATTTGTTGAACGAATGCATGAATGAACAAATGATGTACTTACTATGTGCTCCACAATGAAAATGTAAACAAAGCAGGGCTGTAAATCACTTTTGCTGCCCCCACCTTTTGCAGTCTGGAAAACAGCACTACTTCTCCGTCTCTCAGAGGGATGGTGTACAAACAACACAAAATATCAGCTAATAACAACTACCAAATATTGGACTAGCCAGGTACCAAGGGATTTATATATCTCACTGATTTCATCCTTTTTTTTTGGCTGCATTGTACAGCTTGCAGAATCTTAGTTCCCCAGTCAGGGACTATACCCAGGCCACGATAGGGAACGAATCAAGCCCTAACCACTAAACTGCCAGGGAATTCCCTTCCACTCTCTGAGTTAGATATAATTATCTCCATTTGGGGCTTCCCTGGTGGCTGTCAGTAAAGAATCTGCCTGCAATGCAGGAGACCAGGGTTCCATCCCTGGGTTGGGAAGATGCCCTGGAGAAGGAAATGGCAAACCACTCTGGTATCCTTGCCTGGGAAATTCCATGGAGAGAAGAGCCTGGCAGACTATAGTCCATGGGGTTGCAAAGAGTTGGACATGACTTAGTGATTAAACCACTACCATCCCCATTCTGAGGATGAGAAAAACTGACTTAAAGAGATTATGTAACTATTTGAAATCACATTGGTAGTAGTAAGTGGTAGCACACTCATATTGGACTCCGGGATGGGTTTGTTTCCATTCCCTGCTCTCCAGGACAAAGACAAATACATTTCTTTCTGAGGCCCTGGCCCAGAGGATCTGGCCACTCTCCACTGTCCTGCTCCAGGCTGGCCCCTCCCCTGCCGCCCAAAGGCAAAGTGGGCTGACAAGGAGGTGCCCTCTCCTCTCTGGAAACTTGTGTCCACCGGCTACACCTGCCTTGTGGGTAGGAAGGGAAGGACCAGTTTTGCTTTCAAAAGCCAAGCTCTTCCAGCTCTTGCTGTGTGGGAGGGACCACGAGAGGTCTGGATGTTGTCAAGCAAAAGCTTTAACCACCCAAAGAGCTGATGATGTTGACAAGAAGGGGACCTCAGCAAGGCAGATAACCAGAACCTGACGACTGACAGCATCCCCACACCCCTGCTCAATCAGGAACATGGGCAAGCTTGATGACAAATAACAAACTCTAACAAGTTCTAATTTTCATATGCATTTGTTCACTTCTCACAGCAAACAGAAGTATCCAAGGCTGGACTTACTACCAAAAAAAAGTTTGTGAGGCTAGAACCCGAGTGTCCCGATCAATTTCACATAATGAAATTTATATAGGGCTGATCACGGATCATGTATTCTGTTCAATATTTCCTGACTATTAAACTCATCTCTTGCCCACCACCATTCGTAGTAGGTATTAGTATTCTCCGCATGTGTTTTTTAAGACGAGGAAACTGAGGCAGAGTCGTGAAGCATCTTACCCAAGGTCGCATAGCCGGCAAGTGGCAGGGCAGGGATTGGGAAGCCAGCCAGCCGCCTGGCCCCAGAGTCTGTGCTTAATCGCTCCACCAGGTGGGCCTGGTGCGGTGACTCCACTTGGGAACTTGAGTGTGTTTTCCCGGCTGCCTCCGCCCCCTTCCCCCTGCCTCCCTCCGTCTTTATGGCCCATTGGAAAAAGCAAGGCAGAGATGTGGCTCCCAGGGTGACGATCCTTCAGCCCCTCCTTGGCACTGTCACTCCCGTCTCCCATCTCTTGCCAGGGGCTCCAGCCGGGAGTACCACAGACTGTTTGCCATGGATCAAGACTTCTCCGGAGAAAGCTCACAGGAAGGCTGCTGTGAGAAATGAAGTCACTTGCTGTTTCCCCGATTCCCTCATCAAGAGGAGCCAAATGAAGTCACGGCACGTTTGGATGGGGGCTGTCAAAGCACAGCCTCTGGCCAGCTCAGAGACAGACGTTGGGCTCGGGCGGCCAGGGGCTGAACTGCTGCGTGGAAAATCTGAGGTGGTGGATGGTTGAAATAAAGCTCCTGTAGGAGTGTTATGTGTGATTCACTCACCAGGGCTTGCTGATGGGGGCCCAGGGTGTGCACATGAGCTGTGAATAGGCTTGTTCACTCATTTACTGGTTATCCCCTTTTTGATTCAATAAGTTCTGATTATGTGCTTAAGAGGCACCATGCTAGATGTCCAGGATGGACAAGACAAAATCCCTGCCCCAAAGGGGCTGCAGTCTAGAGAGGGGAGACAGGAGTGAGATTAGTGATTTGTGTCAAGTGCTGAATTGGTCTCATGTCACCGTTTGACACACTACCCCCCAAAACTGCCCTCCCCCTGTCCTCTTGCTATGCTCAGTGCAACCTCAGCTTCTTTCTGCCGGATCCCATCTTCCTGTGAGGTGGGTCCCTGTTGGGTGCAGGCAGTGACAAAAATGGCAGTAAAGCCTCAGAGATAAGGCTTCAGTGTACTAAGGGAATCCTGGTGAAGTGGGCAGGGTGATAATGTTCGCTGCCTTTATTCTCTGGGTTGCCCTGGCCCTGGAGGCTGCTCGGACGGATGCAGATGGCATCACTTGAGTTCCTGACTTCTCAGCTGGTCAGGCTTGGCCAGCAGGGGTCCTGACAGGGAAGGGAGCGAGGAGCTGAAATATTTGTTTCCCGTCCCCTCCTGGCTCGCCCGCCCACCTGCCTGAACTCTGGCAGGGATTGTGGTTCCTCAACGGCCCCACCTTGG